ACTCCTCACGTTGCGATCTGATTGGCTATGAAGTACGCCACGCGTATCGACATGGCTCTTCTGAATGGTGTCCCCTTTCTCATCTCCTCCCTTCTTTGCTCTCTCTTTGCATCCTCTCTCCCCCTTCAAGTTCTTTGCAACTATAAATTTTGCAAACGCGTTGCTCTCTCTCTCTCTCTCTCACAAAAAAAAAAAAAAAAAAAAAAAAAACATCGGCCAACTCTTATAGAAGTAGTGGCTAGATGAGGTGGTGACCGACATTTCGGAAAGTTAGGACAGAAACTCTTGACGAATCGATTGCAACCTTCCAGAATTGTACATTCGATGGCTGGGAGCCTGCGACGGACTGCAGGATCTGGGCGAATTCACGTAGTAGTTGAGTGGATGGGGTGACGATTGCTGAGCCTAAGCGTTGAGCATGCAGCGGCTGGGACTGCCAGTTCTCGAGCCATGAAAGGCATGTTAACTGGTTAGATGGCCCGAGGCCATAGCTCGAGAATACTCTACTAGATAGTGCGAATAACATTTTGGAGTTTTATATGGCGGCATGTCAGTTTTTCTCTTAATCTTAAACAATGGTATATTCTCTCTTTTTTTGTCTCTTCTCTCTCTTCATGAATGAATGAGCGGAATCCTATGACATTGTATGGATGTGTGTGTGGAAGGTGTTCAACTTGGTGAATGTATGTGTAGGTAGAGTCCCCACCAGTCCTTGGGTTGTGAAGATCTCGTCAATCGATGATCGTTGAAGCGCAATGACAAGTGTTGGTTACTTAATGAAGAAATATGTGTCTCCCTCTCTTTGTGGAAGTGATGCGCTAACGATGGATGAATGCGGATTCACTTTATTTTGTTAAGGATTTCGTCGGAGGTATTTCCGCATTTCCCATCATCCCAACCAACTTGTTTCTCGGGATAATCTTCCCTTCGAAGGGAGGAGTGCAGTGAGGAACTTCGTTGTGTTCCTATCGACGGTGAACACGCAATTCCCTCGATCCCTGATCCCATGAATGTTTTAACCCCTCGGACGAGTACCCCTTGTAGATGTTTTCGTGTCGCCCAACAAGAAATGTTAAATACTTTCTGCGCGGAAGTGATTTTTGTTGATGATATCTAAGACATATTTTTGTCTTCACCCCCTTCTTTTAATCTACTTACTATTAAATGCTTGAAAGAACTTCTTCCAGAACTTTTCCATTAGTTTCTTGGGTAATCTCATACCGCAGCGGAATATTGGACACAACGATTGCATCGCGCTGTCTCATTTCCGACGTGGAGATGATCCCCGGATCTAATGAGACTTGATTGCCTTGTCTTGTGAATCATGGTGGTTGCGTGCATATCGGCCATGTTGA